TGTTACAAAGTTTATCTTTTAAGTTAATATTAAAATCTCCAAGTGAAATAACATTTTTACTCTTAATATCTATTAATACTTCTTTTAATTCATTTATGAAAACTTTCTCATTAGTTTTAGGTGGTTTATAAACAGCTAACATGCAAATAGACATATCTATCCTCCTAAAATAAATTTCAAATAACATATGCTCGAAACTTGTCTTTTGTACATATGGCATTTTTTTAATGGTGTGTTCTTTTTTTATGAAAGCACAAATGCCTCCACCCTTACTGTGTTCTCTTAAATTATACACAACATCAAAATTATCCAAATTGAAAAGATCAGTGAGGCTTTGTTTTATATTAACTTCTGTAAAAACAATTACATCCAGGTACTTAAAGTAGTTATTAAATAGTAATACAAATTCATTCCAGTGCTTTTTTAAAGATGCTATATTTAAATGTAAAAAAGTAGCACCATTTTCAAACTTACTGTTTCTACTAAGAGATGTCAGTTCTAATATATCCTGACAACAGATAGATTTAATTTCTTCTTCCTCTACAATACAATCTACCATGGAAAAAATTTAATAAAAATATATCTACTAGGACTTACATTTTTAAAACACTACTTTATCTTCTCTAAGTCTGCTTCATTTTCAATATGGATAACACTGCTGTCGTCTTCCTTTCTCACTCGAACCATCCCGTTTTTGAACCAGGTGTACTTATAATTCAGTCCTTTTGCCTTCTTCTTCGCCTTTTTTAGTAGGTTACGGTAGAAAAAGGAGAGATTTTCACTTATGTAGATTCTTCCCCCATTCTCCCCGGTGACCTCCGCATTAGTGACAACAGTCTTCTTCGCTGCCAACACTTTATTCCGCACTTTCCTACTGACAAATTGTGCTATAATTGTTGCTGGTCGGTCCTCGGTTTTAGTTTTAGGTAGGCGATGGGCAATTTCGATATCTTCCTCCCTCAAATTCACACCTACTTTTTCAGCAATCTTCATCACCAGAAATTCGACATTTTCATTTTGTACTTCCATTACCTCATTAAATTCCAAATTTTTATTTCTACCATATTGTTCAAGTTGGTTCATTTGCATCGAAAGTTCCACAATCTGCTTGTCCTTTTCAACAATAGTTTCTCTCAATTGTTTCAATTCATTTTCCAGCTTTGGCAAACACTTTAATGCTGCATTGAATTCATCATATTGATTTGATAAAAATTCTTGACTAGCCTTAATATCATTAGTAATTTCTTTAAGAGAATCCATATCCGCAGATATAACTCGAATGAGATCCAGTTTTTTATCTACACTTTTCAAAATGTCCTCTGTTGAATATCCTTGAAAAGTGTCATCCTTAATCTTCTCTACATCTGGGGTCCCTTGATTACTTGGACCTTGTGCTTTCTTTTCAGTTTTTGATCCTTTACATTTAAGGCATTACCATTTCAGTTTTGCATCCTCAGACATTTTATTAAAAACAGATTCTCTTAAACCAGCACAGTGATAGTGAAATGTACGCTCACACTGTGGCTCCACACATTTTATAGTTTTTTTAGGCTCTAAAATAGGGTCCTTACATTGGTCACAAGCCATGGTGGAAAAAGAGAATTAAATTAAATAAATATAAATATAATTGAATAAATATAAAACAACTTACAGTCTTTAAAAACTTGAAAATTCCTACTAACAGGAACACAGTACAGTATAAGGAAAACAGCACAGAAACTGATAAGACAACAGCGAACACATAACAAAATAGAAGCGCTACTCGGAGCGCAGGAGCGTGGCAGTCTGACTAGCCGACAAAACGGACAAAGATGGCGGCGCTAGCCTAGTCCCAGCGTGTGCAACACGCTGGTCGTCTGCTATGCTTGGAGTCAGTGTTGTTTACATAGGCTTTGTTTAAATGTAAAAATACTTTTGTATAAAAATTACTTAAGTTTTTCTGGAAGTACATTGTCGTATTAGTATATTGTTGGAAATACAGTATCTTACAGTAAATCGATTGTTTTTACTATAGTAAATCGATTTTTTTTATCGCGGGAGAAATTTTTGTTTACAAATATCTGTTTAAAAACATCTTTGTTCGCATTATAAATCTGTCATATTGGTGTTATTTCTTGTGTCACGACAAACACGATGGTATTTTGAACGACATTTTTAGCGCCTTATCAACGATGTTAGTATTATACGTTTTAAAAATAAACATCAGCATAAAAACTATTGCGAGGAAAAATTTTAAAATGCATGGAACTGTTAACAATAAACCTACCAATAAGCCATAACAATTTCAGAAAGATTGGCTGAGTGGTTTGTTTACAATTAAATTTTAAACTTCAGTGTTAGTGCAGAGTTTCTTAAAAATCGGTACTTTTTAGGATCTTTCAACTATATAAATTTTTCTGGTAAACGGAAATTTTTTTAATTGTTACCACGTAAAACGTATTTAAACCAGCTTATATTTATTTTTTGTCTCAACAAACTCGGATAATTCATCTCAAGAGATATTTAGGCTCAAACTCGAGTGCACATATTTATTTCCCTGACAGTAGTCCCGGCGTTTGTGTGCAGCGCGCTAGTCGTCTGCTATGCTTGATGAGAATAGTGTAGATATGAAGTTAATGATATTAGTGTAAAGGAAAACAATGTAATTGAGGACTTGACGAACAAAGTACTTGGACAATGTGTAGGAGTAAATTTGTTTCCAAATAGTACATATTTTTAGGATATAAAACAATATGGACAAACATCATTTTTGTTTAGTACCTAATTAAAATTATTGCTCAAAAATATTTCAATATAAGAGTTCGCTACTACTGTAAAATAAGTAACGAAAGTCTTCACAAAAATAAAATCAGGCAACATCTCAATAAAACTGTAATTTTTGGGACAATAAATTGAGTTTAATTTTACAAATATATTTGGGAAGTTTCATTTAACTTACAGAATTATCTTTAGTTTATCTTGGATGATATTGAAAGCTAATTAGTTCTTAAAAAGTTGTGCTAAACAGTTTAAAATTCTACATAGACAATATATTTGAAAATTTCTTTAATATATACAATATTACAGTACAACAGTATAAAACATTAAAACACTGCACGCTTAACAACGGCCCGGCGGCGCAGCGGGCGTGGCGCGGAGCAGCGGCAATGGATCCCTTTTGTACCTGATTTTTTAGAAAACCGAACATGATAAAAATTTTTGGTGAATCGGATAGTCAAATTTGGTTATTTATCCACAACTTTCCCGCTGACGAAATTTCTCTGACAAAAAAATAAAAAATTTCCTCGCAATACAACTTTTTCATGTCTGAATCTGAAAAATTTAACTACATAAGTATTAAACATATTTATAACTCAATTACTATCATAAATAATAATTTTATATTAACACCATCGTTTTCCTCAGTATCATATCTACAAGTGTGCAAAATTTCAGAATTTTTTGTCAACTATTAATGTTGTTTATGATCGTGTATTTGTCGCGGGGTTTTTAATGCGAACTGAGCTCGCGGGTCTTGGATTCAGGCTGTATGACGGACCAAGATGGCGGATTTGGCCACACTTTCAGTGCATTTGGTTAAACGCTGTGTCCTCTCTATTATTATTATTATTATTATGTGCTCGCTGTAAGACAACCTCTCTCAACCACTGCTGACTACTGACTATAATGAGGGGGGGGGGGAAAGGCGCAGAGAATTTGTTAAGTAGGGGTTAAATTCAAAGACCGCAGGAGACGAAGATGATGTTAACACGGGCGCAGGAGGTGTTCATGATTTTGCCGTTGTTGTGGAAGATGACGATCACGTTTTCGTGACCACGGGAGACGATGATTATGTCTAACTGGCCACAGGAGATATTCATGACTTCACCGTTATTAAGTAAGGCGACACTCACGTTTTCGTGACTGCGGGAGATGATGTCTACACGGCCGTGAAATATGTTCACCATTTCTCCGTGGCTGCCGCGATCGGAAAAGACGAAGTGACGTCTCAGTACCTGAGCAAGATGCTAACTATTTTTCCGCAGCCATAGGAGACGTTAATGTTTTCACCATGAACGGAGAAGATGAAGATTATATTTTCGCAATCACGCAAGATGTTTACCATTTTTCCGCGGCCACATGAGTCGTTCATGATTCCTTCGCGATCGTAGGAGACGAAGATGACGTCTCAGCGCCTGTGCAAGATGCTAACTATTTCTTCGAGGCCATCACCTTAATTGATTTCACCGTGGTCGGTGGAGATGAAGATGATTTAATCCACGATCGCGCAAGATGGTCACCACTTCTCCGTGGCCACATGAGTCGTTTGTGATTCCGCCGGGATCGGAGACTAAGACTAAGTCTAAGCGTTCGCGCAAAAAATTAATAGACTTATTTATTAGCTAGTCTCTTAGGTCTTTTTGTTTATCCAATTGTTGGAAACAAAAATGAAATTCATCAAGTTGAAGCAATATAACGTGTATTTATAAGCCTTTAAATTCTAACCTTTAAAGAATCAGAATAAGAAGAGGGGCCTCTCTGGTAAGAGCCGCCGGGAGCCTCATAGATTCTAAGTACAGTCCTGGTTGTAGGGCACAGGTCTTCCTTCAGCATGAGCTCTGTAGTACGTGATGGCGAAGGTGGGAAGGGGAGCAGGAGGGGAGGACAAATAGAATTCACTCTCAACACTAGTGCCTGGTGCTAGCTAGGCACCACTTAAGTGTATCCTAATGTTTTTTACTTCTCTGTGGGTATTAGCACTTTGTTTTCTTAACTAACATAGACGATCACTATGGTAAAATCAAAAATGTAATTTTAATTTTAGATGACAGCTAGGCTCTTACTAGTGCATAGTCCAAGTATCTGAGGGATTGATATTATTACTGAACTAAACAACAGACATTCTTTCCAGAAAGATTACAGTCCAGTAGTCTATTAGGTCAATACCTTAAAATAGCTCTCTGTGTTTTATGTGCCTCAAAAAGTATTTTGATTCCTTGAAACTAGTTTTTGTCACACAGCCTTCTTCTACTTTGCCGGGCACGGGTTCTCCAAGCTAGCATCCAAGTTCATGATGCCCATAGACTGTCCCAAAGAGGAGATTCAGCTTCATGATTGTCTGTGTGATGAACAGCTGACTCAGATATTAGCACAAGGAGAGCAACTGCAACTACTCGTCATGCTGTTTGACTGCTGTCTCGTAGAGTCAAGGTACACTGATAAATAACTATATGTTCAATTGCGTCCAATTTCAATATTGTTTTAATAAAACTCGACATTGTTTCATACATTGTTTGTTTTGGCTTCTATAAATGCTACGAATGAAGATAGTATGAAACTGAAAACCGAGGATAAAGAATCAATTCTGTACAAACTCATTACCAGATAAAAATTGTTGTCAGTTACAGGCTCAATGTTTGTTTACTGACCAAGCCATATTATCAATTTAATGAATAATTATTTTATATGAATTTGTCTGGCTGTTTTGTTTTAAATATAATACGAGAGCTTGCTCCGTGGTCAAAAACTCGACCAAAAGTATGTATTGTACAAACTTCTCTATACTCGTACCCCACGCTGTAAATAAAACATGTGATTGGAATGTCTTCCACTTGTTTTGATTTTCTGTTTATATTTTGTTGTTATTTCGTCACTAACATGGCAACCCATTAGACCCATGTTAATTTTTTTTTAAATTTTAAATCCATTTTTTCTTTTTGTGATTATTTTTTAGCCTATTTTTCTGCATATTTTCTGCAAGGGATTCTGCATATCTATACGAAAATATCTTTCATTTGGTACCAACCGCGTGTAATTCGGTCCATTAGTATGGCCAGACAGCTGTCATATATTTTGCAAAATTTGTTTAGTATACAAGATACTTTCACCAAGATAGAGCCAGGGTTCAGTTTAACGAAACTGCACTGTAATAAGCCTACCCTTAAGGAAATTTTTAGGGAATATCCCTTAAGGAAGATTTTTCTTTGGACATAAAAGCATTTAAAATTATTTACTAAATTTGTTTGTTTCAGCTTCTTATTAGCACTTCACCAGCTTCCATAGGAGATGTTTTTATCTTTCGCTGCTGTTGCATAGATAGCATTTGTTAAACAGCTGTTTTATTGCAGAGATTTATCTATCGGGAGGACTGAGTTTGAGCATGACCTAGGCAACTGCAACATTGTTCTAGGAACTGCAACCAGAAACTATCAGAATGCTTACGAGAGCGATGCAGACGCCAATGGCTTGTTTGTCAACCATTTACGAGAACATCTGGAAGACAATCTACCCATCATAGAGGTGCTGCGGGCTAATCAGAGAGGCAAGTACCAGTATAAATGTATGTAAGAGTAAGAATGAGCAATTTTGGGTTTTGTTTGAGACAAAGTAATCACTTAATGCTAAAAATAATTGCTGTATCACAGGTGTTTTATTGATTTGTATCTCTGAGGAAAGTATTCGATATATATTTATACTTTTTGACTCAATACCCCATATGGTAAAGAATAGCATCCAATGAAAAGCAGCCCTCCCCCAAGAAAATTTGGAAACAACTGGTACAAATTAGTTATTATTGTCTGGCCTCTAAATATTAATGCTTTGTTAGTTTTTTCATAATGTTTGGACCCATATAGACATGAAAGTTTAAATTATTAGACAAGTTTAATGACAAATAATGGTTAAACATACCTAGGAAGCAGGTGCCTGCTTCCTGCCATGTCCACGGCAGTGCGTGTAGTTGATAGGCCTATCACTATAGTTTTTTATGTTTTGTGTAAAATGTGTATTTTATTTATTCTGACGACACATCAAGTGGATCCTTTTGTTTGCCTGACGATGGCGGAGATGCTTAAATAGCCGCCGAAACATATGTAGCAACTTCGACACTACCTACATGTTAAGGATTGTCTGACGAGGTATGTTTAACCATTATTTGTCATATTAACGCAATCCTGGGGCTATGAAAATGAATTTTAATTTTTACAAGTTTAATATCGTTCATCACTCATTTATGACTCAGGTTATGTAAGGTAAAACTTGCTCACACACTTGCAGGTGTGGCTCCTCGCATCAATGAGAGAAACTTGTAACACATGCCAACCTTCGCAAATGCATCAACCATGTACATTCACAATCATGGTCTTGTATCAACTATCTAGCATAACAAGTGACATTATTGTAATTGTAGTGCAGGCCTCTAGGTGTGCGGCTATGTCACCCATGCTTAAATCCGGCACTGAATATTTGTTTTAAGATTTCAAGCTTATGCTATTTTATCTGTTGTCAGATTTCAGGGAGAAACAACAACAGCCAACCATCTTCTTTAGTGGAGCTGACAATTGCAGCCTCACCGATCCCGTTGTTGGTAAGATTCTAATTGTATCTCAGTAAATGTAGTAAATTAAATTGCAATTAATATAAAATGAATGAATATATTGATTTTTTGCAGCTCTTTATTTGTAATAATGATTTTATTGATTTAACTTGTAAATACCCCCGCTGCAGCAAACCTGCCGACTTAGCGAATTTCCTTATGCCTGGATTGATTTTCAATAATTCTATTAAATTAACATTTATGTTTGACGAGTACCTAGCTTAGCTGCTACAGGGAAACTAATAAAGTGTTTTTTTTATTAAAATATCAATAGCCTAGTATGAAATAAATAAATCTGCCAAGTTTGATCAAAATATACCCATAAACAAGCCAACTACAACATATTATAATATTCTCCATAAGAATAACATGGGAATTTTAAATTAATCATTTTTTGAATTTTCTCCGTAACCAATCACTTTACAAAAACACTTTGTTGATATACTAAATTATTTGTTTTTTAAGCTCTTTAAAAAAGTCTGGAGAATTTTTTTTTTAAATTTTGTGTTTTAAGGGTAAAAAATTAGAAAACCCCATTTTTACCCCCCATAAAACCCTCCATTAAACCCTGTTGCCATGGTCCGTTCATGCTGGTTCGCAAACTCATTCAAGTTTATCCCGCCTTACACCTTCAAAACCTCTGGGGACATCAAAATGAAAAAGTAAATCGGTCCCGGGCCTAGGTCTTACCATGAGACCTATGGTAATAGCTACTTCCCTAAAGGGAAATTTACTAAAATTAACTATATTTAAATATATAGTTTTTGTTTTTATATTACCATCAACAGAATAACATTTTGTTTCAGAGAATGCACAATTAGAAGAAAAACTAAGATCAGAGGTTGATTTTGAGGTTGAGAAAAAGATTTATTTCAAAAGGATCAACAAAGGATTCACCATTCACATTACCAAAAACAAGAATTGTTTCTTGAATTCAGTTGATTTGCAGTTCCCTGAGGACTTTACTTACAACTTTTCTGTTGAAATCAACTCCCAGGTAAGGTTTAATCCCAAACTATGTTAGTTATTATCGCTTGAATACTTAAACTTGCCCCTGTTAATGCGTTCACTAGGCTTGTGTAGTAGCAAAAGTCAAGTAAGTCAGTTATGCCGGATAAATAATATTATAAATAATAATAATAATATAAATAATAAATAATGCCTCTTTGAATTGTATATACTGTTAAAAACTGTACTGAATGTGCTCTGTTGTAAAACTGATGTTAACTCGTTTTTAAACAACTTTCATGATTTTTTCAGGATGTTAAGTTGGCTGTAGAGCATAGAACAGTTACAATACACAATCTACAAAGGGTTAAGGTATGTACTGTAATATCATTATTATATTTTATTTACTAGCTGTAACCCGCGGGCTTTGCCCCGTTTAACTTCTTAATTTTCAAGATTATCTCGTTCGCATGGCTCAATCACGTCCTGGTTGAAGTTTGTTCGCTACGCTCACTCACCTTTAGGTTGGAGCTCGTTCGCTACGCTCACTCACCTTTAGGTTGGAGCTCGTTCGCTGCGTTCACTTGCCTTCAGGTTAGCTCGTTCGCTACGCTAACTCGCCTCCAGGTTGAAGTTCGTTCGCTACGCTCACTCACCTTTTGGTTGCAAATTAGCTGTTGTCATAAATGTAAAAGAAATAATAGTGCTGCACCCTGTTGGTAATCCTTGTAACTTTAATGCTATTGAACATCATAGAACAGAACCAACTTGTTTAATTGAAACAGCTGTTAAGATTCAATAATTCCATTTCTTATAAGGTTAACATGGGAAACTCCAGAGCCACTGGGGCGGATCCCAAAAGGATTTTTGAAATAAGAATATGCCTATATGTTAATCGGGAATGTGAGCTATCATCATGCCAAATTTCAGCCCAATCCGACCAATATTTTTCGCGTTCACTTGTCACAAACATACATCCATACATCCAAACTTTCTCATTTATAATATTAGTAGGATTAGTAGGATATATTGACTGGCATACTGGCAAACTAACAGCAGTTATAATAGCTGCTGTAAACTTAAATTGAATGACCCTGATTTACACATAATCAAATGGAAAACACTGCTATCCGAATTATTTATCTCTGATGTTGTATCTAAACAGTTTAAATACATTTTTTCAAATGCATTATATTACCCAAAAAATGTGTTCAATATGTCGTTAGCAGTTGTTCAGTAGTATACAATACTCTGTGTTTTGGCCTAACACAATCACCATGCTTCTTGAACATTAATCTTTTTATCAGCTTTGGCGATTCACTCTTCATTTATCCTATTCATAAACATAATATGCAATAAAGATTATGAAACAATGGAAAAACTAGATAGGCATATTATCAGTGTTATACTATGATAACCCTGGCAAACTAGACAGGCCTATTACTGGCACTGGAAAACCAGACAGACCTGTTACCTTTATTTATTTTTACTTGTTAAAAATATTTATTTATGCTATATTCGAACCTTTGTAAAAATAGATCCAACTGCCATTACTGCTATAAATATGGCCGTTACAAATTCTGGTAGATTGGTCATGTGTACAGCAACAAAAAGCTGTAATAAACATTGAGAACTGTCAAAGTAGGATTGTTTTCAGTTATGTTTATGTTCTAATAAGAAATATGTGATATTGTGCATGTAGAAATTGGTGTAGAAATGTGTGGGGTAGAAATTGGGTTTTCCCATTTTGTCCCAAAAAACATATGATTTAGCCATTTGTTTCCAAACCATTTTGTAGAGCTTAAAAACCCAAATAATTTAGTATATTGAAGTGTTATTATGCATCTAATGGTTACGGAGAAATAGTTATTTGTGCAACTAGTGAGCAAAGGGAGCAATTGACTCACTCGAGAGAAATACTTAGGCCTACTCATGAGCCGTAGGCGAGTGAGGAATGGTTTCCCGAGTGAGCAGTGAGGCAATTGCACTTTGCACTCGAGTTGTACATTATATTTTTCCTACAGTTACCATAAAACAAATACATTGGTAAAGATAGTGACATATTTTAAAACAAAATTTAACTTTTAATATGACATTTAATGATACAACAGTACAACAGCTTACCAGCTGATTTACAGCCAGTGCTGCCAACGTATTTCACGCGCATACGACCTTGTCTGCATGTTACGCGCTCACTTTTCGTGCCTTCACGTTGCAAATCTGGAGTGAGACAATGTTAACATTGTCTCACTGATGAGCGAATTGGCCACTTTGCTTTCTCAAATCAGTGAGAGAACATTGTTAGGTAACTGTAGGAAAAAATTTTAACCAATAACTCCCATGTTATTCATATGGAGAACAATTAAACTGTTGTAGTTAGCTTGTTTATGAACATTTACTTACTTACTTACTTACTGCAGTGGCCATAGGTACCCCAAGTGGTACTTGGCCTCGCCTACACATTGCCTCCAGCCTTCTCTGTCCTGCGCCTGGTCTTCATTTCTACCCAGCTTCCTCAAGTCCCGTCGCACCTGGTCCTTCCATCTCAGTTTAGGCCTGCCTGGTGGCCTTCTGCCTTCTGGGTCGTTCCTTAATACACTGCTTAAGGTTGTGCCATGTTCTCTTCTGAGGACATGACCCGCCCACCTAATGCGTCTGCTTTTTACCTCAGCTGTTATATCTGGGTCTTTATATAGCTCTCTTATTTCGAAATTATGTCTAATTCTCCAGAATCCATCTTCTTTAGTTGGGCCATATATTTTCCTAAGAATTTTGTTTTCAAAAGTTACTAACCGTTTTTCTGATTTTTTGCTCATTACCCAACACTCAGATCCATACATTAGTGTCGGTCTAATTATAGTTTTATAAACTCTTACTTTAGTATTGCGGGATAACAGCTTTGAGCTCAAAATTTTGTTACATGCATGGAGGCTTCTGTTTGCAGCATTGAGTCTGTTAGTTATTTCCAGTTCTTCATTATTATCATTTGTTAATAAGACTCCCAGGTAGGTGAAATTGTTCACTTTTTGGAAAACATGGTTTTCTATCTGCAGGACTTCATTGTCCTCTTCTTGGTCATCTCGTCTACCACATTGCATATATTTAGTTTTTCTATCATTTATTTCAAGGCCAACCATTTATTTCATGTTTATGAACATTAATTACATTTATAAAATACATACACCTACATTTCTTACTTAACTGCAGTATTTAAACTTTACAATAAAAAAAACTTTTTTACCCTCCCTGTTGCAGCAGACCTAAGTTATCGTTAAACTAATTATATTTGAATAGGTAATAAATATGTGATATTTGTAAGGTGACATTTTAGTGTAAATCCAATCAGTCAATTGGAAATTCGTTTAGTCTGCAGGTTTGCTGCTTTGGGGGTGTTTATATGGTTTAAACGCAAAGAACTAGTAACTGCAATACGCATTTGATACGTATACGCCTATCCCGTACGAAGGACCTTTGCAATACCTCTATATATTTTAATATCTTTATATATTTTAACAGCGCAGTGACTAAAAAGGTGCGTTTTATAATATATATGTCGTTTGGGCGTTGACTGTATATAGTTAACAAGTTAACGGTATGGGCTACGTCGGCTTCTGCCAACAGATAGTGGGGGTTGGGTTGGGGGAAGCTAGACCAAGGACACTTTGCCCGCCCCGCAGTGCCACTGACTGTGAGCGCAATCCAGTAGTTCTTTAGTTCTTTGTTCTTTACATCACTTCGGTTTGTTTGCTGAGTTGAGACTGTCGAAAGTTAGTTGATTGTTGCTTTGTTCGTTTATGGTTAGCTGCAGAAGTGAGTGGCACTCGTCCGCCAGGTGAAATTTTCTTTGTAAGAGACAGTGCATTGTATTTTTGAAATAATAATAATAATAATTTTGAAAAATTAATTACATTAGATTTTTACTTGATTTTTAGCAGCAAACGTCTTGATTATGTCAGAAAATGGAACATTTGTCGCTCTTACATATTTAGCACAAATTGTGAACTACTTTATGATTAACACTCGACGCGTTATTTTGAATAAATAGTCATACCAGACGACAACCAATTGTTGTGTTCTGTAAGGGCTGATTTGTTTTATGATGGTTACTAACAGCCAGTGTCACTTTGTGACTACAAAATCCGTGATATAGCCTATTTGAAATAATTTACGGATTTCTATTGCAAATCTTAAAAAAAGAAAAAAGCTAACGTAAGTTCTTATTTACAATTTATAAAAATAAGATTGCAATATTTTACTTGAATTCACTACAACATCACCAACTCTAACGATTTTCGTATGGATGTAAACGAATTTGTAGCATTTTTATCTGTTGTTATGTAAACAAATTAAAATCTATATAAATAGAATTACAGTTTTGTCTGTACATTGCTTAGAATCATGCAGTTTTTGGTTTTTTTACGTTTCATAGCCTAAGAAAGCCGAAACGAGTCTTATCTAAATTTCTGTCTGTATGTCTGTTTGTCCATTCTGTGACTCCGTCTGTAACGCCAAAATGTCATTTTACCGGCCTATTCCTAGAAAACTAGAGTACCGATCAAGGTTCTAATCATTTTTCTGTATTTACTGGATTGGTGAGAGTGTCTTTGGCTATAAAAAAATTGCCTCGCTTCTTTGAAAACAAAATAACGAACCACCAAAAACCCAATTTTGTTTGATTTTTGTCAAATTTTCTCCCAATGTTTACTATTACATTTTATGAAATAACGATCAGCTGTTTGGATTAGTTCTCACTTCTAGCTGTCACTGATATGTTTACATTAAAAGTTGTTCACAAATAACCATTTCCGATCAAGTTTAGTCAGCACATCCCGTACACCCAAACCAAGTGAGATTAAAAACTTTGTGCCTTACTTAACCGGTTTAATTAATCGCAAGTGCAACGATTGTTCTTGAGTTTTGATAACCGGGGAAAATGCCGTGAATTAGTGTTGTATCAGTGCAAGGAAACTTAAATTTTTTTTAATCATCGTCACCAATACCGTAGCTTACAAAGGTTTCCACTCATTGACGGTGATTGAAGGACAGTTATGTAAAGTGCAAAGTAAAAAATTACAAGTGCAGTGAGTGGGTGATCGTGGATGTTGCTGCGATCTTGGAAGATCTTTCTGATTTCGCTGTGATCGTACCGTAACGGAGGTTTAACTTAACAGATGTAGCTAAACTCGCTTTTCCAATGTCTCACTTTTGGTTTCTACTTACTTACATTTCGACAACGATATCGGTACTTTTCCTACTTAGGAAGTAAAACTACAAACGTACAAAACCCCAGATTTGTGCGTTTTTTGTCACATTTCCTCCGAATGTTTGCTAGATATATGTACCGATTATCGTTTAGAGATTACGTAATCTTT